TGTATAATAATTGAAATGTGATTGTATTTTAGAAAATACTAGTCGACTAAAACACAGCCAAAACAACTTACTTTGTACAGACCAAAGGTCAGTTTTATGTTATTTGATACGGTAACATGAGTGCACGTGAGCTACATCATTGTAACTTTTATATTGTTAGCCAGGCATGGGAGAAAGGTCAATATAATAAAAATAATAAATATGTATGTATAATGTTATGATATTTAAACTATTTCATCTAAACATTTATGTTTTCATGTTATAATTTGTGTTCCTTCTAGAATGAAAGAGCAATAACTTATGTTTATTTTCCTAATTTTTTATGGTGGTTGCAAGATTGTTCAAATCTACCAAACCCGTACAGAAATTAGTTACTGAAATTAACAGATAAAATAGAAAATTTTTCTTAAAAAAAAACGTTTGATAACTATCTGAACATTATAAAGATTTCGCATATGAAATTTCAAAATTTTCTGATGCATAAAGGTATTTTTAATCTTAAAATGAAAATTACTTTGCATGATAGATAGGCAAGATGTGAAAAGAAAAAAAAAGGCATGAGAGAAACATTGCTTTATAAACATTACGACATAATAAAAAAATGATATATTTTGTGTAAGAAACCATTGTAATGTTTACTGATAATCTGCCAAACTTCATTGATATTTGCTTACTAATTTAAAAGTTATAGCATGAAAACTATAAGCACAAAATGGTTAAGAAATCGTCACATTAATAGACCCTCTCCTGAGAAGAGTTATCACAACTATTTACTTTAGCTAAGTTTAAAATATGTTGAATGCAAAGTACTTAGTGTAAGATTTTCTAATGATATCAATAAATCTGATAATCAGTTAATCATACTTGAAGAGGTGATGTTCATCATAGAATATGCCCCAGCAGTAATCTTGTGTTTTCGTATTTCCAGTCACGAGATTCCCCACAAACTGAAGTCCAATCTTAACGCTCCTGAGAAGGTCTGAAAACGTTTTATGACCATTAATATTGACATTAGAAACACAAATTAAGATAGTTTGAATTTCTACTGTGGTTCAGAGATATAGAACTCATACTACTGAAGAGCTTAAAGAACTGGAATAAAATGCCCATTAAAAAAATTATACCTCATTTGTACTTCTTTGTTTATTTAACAAAATATATACTAGCCTCTTCTGCTTTAAAACCAAGGCCAATAAATACAAACATGTACTGAATACAAGTGGAGTGTATTTTACACAGCAATATTACTCTGTAGTAACAAGTAGAAGTTATTCTTGTGACCAGAAATATACCATTCATACAGATGTAGGTAAAACTATGAATATATTCTTCATAAAGCTACACAAAGACAGTCTTCTTACTGCACTGGATTTACAAGATAAATAGGCAAACTTTGATGACAAAGCCTCAAACTACAGTATCTTTAAGTTTTTTATAATATTTAAGTTAAACAAGTATTTTTTCATAACTCCTTAACACCCAGTTTGCAACACGTTTCATGGGCTGATTCCAAAACATAGCTTTCCAGTACTCTCTTTTTATTTTTTAATTCTGAACAGATTTGAACTCTTTAGAATATCTAAAATATGAATGGCCAAATTTGCACTATTGTACAGGTTATGAGTGAGTAACACCAGTAGCGGCAACACATGTAGAAAAACACAAGATCTAGATCTTCAGCTCTATATAGCTCTTTTATCAACACATGTACAAAAATACAAGATCTAGATCTTCAGCTCTATAAAGCTGTTTTATCAACACATGTAGAAAAATACAAGATCTAGATCTTCAGCTCTATAAAGCTCTTTTATCAACACATGTACAAAAATACAGGATCTAGATCTTCAGCTCTATAAAGCTGTTTTATCAACACATAGTAGAAAAATACAAGATCTAGATCTTCAGCTCTATAAAGTTGTTTTATCAACACATGTAAAAAAATACAAGATCTAGATCTTCAGCTCTATAAAGCTCTTTTATCAACACATGTAGAAAAATACAAGATCTAGATCTTCAGCTCTATAAAGCTGTTTTATCAACACATGTAGAAAAATACAAGATCTAGATCTTCAGCTGTATAAAGCTGTTTTATCAACACATGTACAAAAATACAAGATCTAGATCTTCAGCTGTATAAAGCTGTTTTATCAACACATGTACAAAAATACAAGATCTAGATCTTCAGCTCTATACAGCTGTTTTATCAACACATGTAGAAAAATACAAGATCTAGATCTTCAGCTCTATATAGCTGTTTTATCAACACATGTACAAAAACACAAGATCTAGATCTTCAGCTCTATATAGCTCTTTTATCAACACATGTACAAAAATACAAGATCTAGATCTTCAGCTCTATAAAGCTCTTTTATCAACACATGTACAAAAATACAAGATCTAGATCTTCAGCTCTATAAAGCTGTTTTATCAATGCTTTTCACAAATTTTATCAGTATAAATGGCCAAAGAAGCTCAATGATATGTATTTGCCATTTTGAAGTGACTAAGTGTGGTACCTGCCTGAACATGAACATTTTGAAGTGACTAAGTGTGGTACCTGCCTGAACATGAACATGTTTAAGTGACTAAGTATGGTACCTGCCTGAACATTTTAAGGTGACTAAGTGTGGTACCTGCCTGAACATGAATATTTTAAGGTGACTAAGTGTGGTACCTGCCTGAACATGAACATGTTTAAGTGACTAAGTATGGTACCTGCCTGAACATTTTAAGGTGACTAAGTGTGATACCTGCCTGAACATGAATATTTTAAGGTGACTAAGTATGGTACCCGCTTGAACATTTCTATTATTTTGTACATGAGTAACACAGACTAGCCAACTTTATTCATTCCAGAATCTACTTTAAACATATGTTAACATTATACATCAGTTCACCATACCAGAGTCTACTTTAAACACGTTAACATTATACACCAGTTCACCATACTAGTCTACTTTAAACACCTGTTAACGTTAAACATCAGTTCACCATACTAGAGTCTACTTTAAACACCTGTTAACATTATACATCACTTCACCATACCAGAGTCTACTTTAAACACGTTAGCATTATACACCAGTTCACCATACTAGTCTACTTTAAACACCTGTTAACGTTAAACATCAGTTCACCATACCAGAGTCCACACAATCTTCTCTTGATAAATATTTTTCCACCAAAATGTGAACTAAATGAACAGCTGAGCTCAAGTTCCTGTAAGAAACAAGATAAATCTTGTGAACACATCACAATTGATACTTGTAGACTACTGTGGACTACTATGTACATGAAAAAACATCTGTGTATCAAAACAAGATTCCATGTCCTGTGGACAACTATGTACATGAAAAAACTAACAAATCAGCAAATGACAGAAGGTAAAACTTTTTAATATATTACATGTATGTTTTCTTCTAAAAATTTTCAGGAATAAAAAATATATGTGCTGATATGAAGAAAATCTTTTCAAAGTTTACGATCTTGAAACAACTAATGGAATATTAAAACATGTGTTTGCGTTTAAAAATAAACCTGAAAGTTACTTTATCAATAGATTTCCATATTTTAGTAACTAATAATTTCAAAATGAAAAGTGATTTTTCATATATCGCAGATTTGTGAGTTTGAATTTTTACTCTTTTTGAGAAAAAAACAAGAAAAAAGCACTGACTTTAGAGGACAGTATGTCATTCTTAAAACACCTGAAGTTACACTACTTAAGTGCAGTTCTTCCAACATACAAAAGTTATAATTTTTCCTACACCAAAAATTTATTTATGATAGGTACCTACCTCTTCTCACATAAATAGCTATTCTTGTTTAGTGCTCATCTCTATATGCAAAAAACATTTTGTGCATGCAACAAGCCTTGAATCTCCCATCCATTTGGAATTGACTGATTCCAGTGCATCTCGCATCCAAATCATCATGCAACAACCTTCCAAAAAGAGTGCAACTTCCTCTATTCCATTCTTCTGAGCTATCACTTTGAGTTTTGGCAGAAAATGAAAATACCAGTTTTCAGTGGGGAGGAAGAGTGGGAAGTGTGAGAAGAGCTAAGTATCTATCAGAAATACACTTTCAATAAAGAAAAATTATAACTTCCAATACAGCACACTACTTCTTCTCACGTAAATAGCTACAATCCCACATTGAATTGGTAGAGGGATCAGAGCAAGAGAAAGAAAGAAGCATCGTTCAAAAGCATCCAGAGGGCACTCCCCAACAGGAGATCTTCAGAATCAAAGATCTGATGTGGGAGACCATACCACTTTTGAATATAACAGTGAAGAACACATACAGGACATAGAAGTCTACCCAGATCAGACCAAGAATAAAGGTGGGAAATGGAAGGAAGGAAAATCAGTGAAAAGTAGGAGTTACCATCTGAAGTACCCGAAGTTTTGGGGAGGATAGAACAATTTGGATAGAGGAAAATATATGTGGAATGATAAAGAGTGCATAAAACACTGATGACAAATAAAGCTGACCTATGACATGCACAGGCTAAGAGGAGAAGAAAAGAAGTCTGAAGGGAAACGTGAAAAAAGGAGCACATGGAGAGTGGTTCAAATAGAGGCAAAGTGAGGCATTGAAGGACCACAGTAACATCCAATACGGAAGGACAGCCTGCTGAGGTGGAAGACGAATCTCGAAGGAATGCATCAAAAGGGAAAGAATAGGAAAGGTAAACACCCTATGGTATCAGGAAAAATTAAAACTGTGGGACAAGGCCACTTGATAACCAGAGATCAAGGAGACAGAAGAACCCTGATCAAAAAGCCAAGTTAGGAAATCTGTAATATGAGTAACAGTGGCTTGAAATAGGTGAAAACCTTTGACCTAAAGATCAACAGCTGAAAAGGTTCCATTTATGTTGATAAACTTCTCTGGAGGAAGGGCGAATGGAACTAGATAAAAAAGAAGTTATCCATCAGGACAGACCAGATCTCCTTGCCAAGGACCAGATAAAAATTAGGCATGAAGACAAAGGACAGGAAGGGCTGGATGAAACACTGGTAACCAAGGTTAACAAAGAAGGGATGGAGTAAGAGGTAAAGAAGGGGTAGTTTGCAGCAGTTGAGCCAGACAGTAAGAAGCAATTAGAAAGACCTGACACGGAGTGACATGGATGATCGAAATGACACTGTGAAGAATTAAAATGGAAGGATAGACATACAGGTATTTGTTGGTCCAATCCTGACTGAAAGCATCAACAGCCAGAGGCAATTTGTTGGTGAGAGATGTGGCAAATGCATCTATGTGAGGAGTACCCTACTGAAGGCAGAGCCACTGGAAAACAGAAGGATCAAGAGACTACTCTGTCGATTAGTCTTTGTCTGGATGGGAAAGCCGATACGCAACAAGATTGAAAGCACCTGGAACATAAAAGCTTTGATACGATTATCTAGCATGTCGGACAAAAAAAAAAGATCTAAACTCTGAAACATAGGGATCGAGAACAGGTGCCATTCTGGTGATTGAGATAAGCAACCACTGTAGAATTCTTGGAATGGATCTTTACCAGACAATTCCTGGCTACATGGAGAAAATGAATCAAAGTATGATGTACAGCAAGAAGTTCCAGGATGTTGATAAGGTTTCTTGGTCTCAGAATAATGTCCCAAAACTTCCTGTTAATCAACCCATGCCTCCCAGCCCTGAAGAGATGCATCTGTGAAAATGTATAAATCTAGACTATGAGAAGGAAGCAGAACACCGTCAATGTTTCAGTCTTGTCCAACTACCACTGCAGATTGCTGACAAGGGTAGAAGGAAAGGAAATAGGAGCCATCAAAGGATCCAGCACAAGATTCCACTAATCATGAAGAGCCTGCATATGTGCATGACCTAAGTTGATAAAGAAAGGTTAGGAAAACCAGAAGAACTATCATGCAACAAAGGATGAGGATCATATGAAATTGGGAAATGGACAAAACATCACTTACCTGTGGAATCATGTCTAAAAAGGTTGTATTAGGCCTAGCTGATTTTGAAGGTCGGGTAAGAAGACATGGCAGAATCTGGTGGTGGATAAAGGTTATTAAATCTTGTCAACCCAAAGAGGTTCAACTTCTCAGGAGCAGGGGGGGGGGAGTTCAGGAGAAGGAAATTGACCCATATAATGATCAATCTTACAGCAGATAAATCCCCGAACGTGCAGCTTGTGAGATAGTGCTAGTAGGAGTTGTGATACCCAAATTGGTAACATTAACCTCAGAATTCATATTTATCATATAAATCAAACAAAAGTGTTTGATGTATAAAAATTTGAGTGAGAGAAAAAAAAGATTGGGAAATTAATTCTTCCTCAATATAAAGATGTAAAAAAAAATCAATGAAGAAATTCCACTTTGGAAATTAAACTATTAAAAGTCATGAATCTGAATTTTATGAAAAGCACCAAAATAAAAAATGTCTGCCAAAGGAGAAGTGAAAGTTCGGTAGAACAGAACAGAAGGAGTCACATACTTCAAGAGAGTATGTCACACTCTTATTGGTGGAGAGTTGTCACATGATGATTTGCATGCAAGATGCAGTGGAATTAATCAATTCGAAATGAGTGGGAGATCCAAGACTTGTGGCATGTACAAAAAATGTTTTGCATATAGAGGGCAGCATTGAACGAAAACAAATATTTATGTGAGTGGAGGTAATATACCCTATAAAAAAATGTGATAGATGAATCCAAAGTTGTATTTTATAAGTCAATAAGTCCAACTCAAAATTTAAACTTCTCTCTTTAATAACCAATTAAGTTAAGAAATGAGATTTGCAGTATTCCAAATATAACAGTTAAGTCAACTAAAACAGTGGCTTGGTTTGTAAAAGCCTTGGGTTCCAATCTTGCACAATCTCAATTTTCAATATTTTTTTCTTCAGAATATATATAATTATTTCTATAACAGTGCACCACATTTACCTGAGGATCATATCCTGGTTAACACTATTCTTAACACAAGCATTTCGAAGATATCGAAAAAAGTCAGCAGATACATCAAGAATCAGAGAGTTATGGTCTGGATTCTGGCCCTGCATTTTTGCTGAATCAAGCAGGTACTGACTTGTAGTATCTAATACCTCGAGGTGGACTTCAGGCATTAATCTCCTATAAGCATTTTAAATAGATATATTTTGCAACAATTAACCATCAATTACAAAAACTGAATTTTCTTAAACTATAGTTGAAAAGTTTATTTTGTCAGATATTTACAAAATAATAGCAGTAATGGAATACTTATCATTTAAGTTCACCCATATCAGAATGTCAAACAAAGTAGTCAAAAAGTATGAATAATATGTAGAAATAGCCAAGACATCATACAGCTAAGTTAAAATGCATACTTAAAGGCAAAATAAAAATTTACATACACCTTATCTATATGTTAATACAAACAAATAACACAAATTCACTATTTTACAATGGTGAGCACTTAACTTTTATTTTTAACAGACAGAACTACTGTATGTTGAATATGATGGATGAGCCTAGTTATAATATACAAAAACCACATTAATATGTAAAATTTTCCACTCTTCTCACACTTTTAACATCAGCTCAGCAGTGCTGGATTTCTTATTTAGTTCAGGTGCTAAGTTCTTTATGGCTAATGTTTCTTTTTAGTTGTTGATGTTTTGTCATTGTAATCAGAAACCAAGTATTTCACAAAAACATGCCAATCACCTTGCTTAATATATATAATAAATTTAAAAAGCTATATACATACATATATATATATATATATATGCAAAAATACCTAAAACACAATTTTAAAATAAGATGTACCACAGTGTAGGCCATAATACCAGTATTTATTAAATATGCTGTCTAAGTCTACAAACAACTTATAGCCTTGAGCTAGTTCAAAGTACACCTGGTAATAAACAACATCATGGGTATGACCTGGAAGTATGTTGTCATACTGACAGTGTATATCTATTATAAATGACTGTAACAAAGTCTGAGCAATTTACTATCATCCTATCATTGATACAACATTTCAAATAGGGTACGTAGCATGTAATATAAAAAACTTTTCCAAGGAATTTGTGGTGGTGGTGAAAGATTACAGCTATAATGGTAAGTGAAACATAACATATGGAGAGTCACAAAATATGCTATGATGACTGCTCTGCAAGAGCTGAATGGACAAGCAAAAAAAACTGTATTGTTCAGTACACCTAACAGCACTAAATTATTGCTGAGTCAGTTTTAGCACTTTTTATCTTATACCAGATATTAAGATTCCGAGTCAGCCATTAATTTCTATATGATCAACTTCTGATTTGGTGGTTAAATATACTAATCATGACATAATTACTAGTTCATAAACATAAGTTTGTAATACCTGCAAGCATCATTTTAAGGCATACCATACATTCTTGTTAAATGTCTAAAGGTTTTCAAACAGTAAATTTCAAGCAATTTGTTAGCCCATGTAGTAGTTAGCTTTATGCTAATTGGTAAAATAAAAAAAAATGCCAGAATAAAATTAAAAGGCTTCAGCAGTGACTTTCCACTGGTACCCAAATGATACATACACTTATGGGCCACTAGAGGCCAGGACAACTTTGACTGTTCTAAAATTCCAGTTAAAGTAGTTGATGGAGTAAGACTAACTTTACAGATAAGATACTGTATTTTTAATAGGTAGGCAAACAATTATTTATAAGCATAAGGAAGAGGACCACTGTTTTGTTGAAACATGCATGTTCCATCATCAAAGAGCTCTTCTCCATGCTTATAAATCGTTGTTTTCCTACCCATTATTATATTAGCATAACATGCTTCCTTATTCAAGTATACTTATTTCAGAATCCAATAACAAAAGAGAAACCTTAGCTTGAAATTTGAATGTAAAGTATAACTAGTGAGGGTATTATCAAGAAAGGAAAAGTCTAGCTTAACAAATTCTCCGACATTCTTTGAGGATGTTACTGCAAGATTTGATGAAGGAAATACCTTGATTTTCAGAAAGCATTTGATAAGGTGTATCACAAAAGACTTGTTACAGAAACTAAATCTGTGGGTGTGGGGGAAATGTTATTAAATTGGATAGAAAATTAGCTGGAAAGTAGAAAGCAGAGAGTAGTAATAAATGGTATCACAGTTACAAGTGGTGTGCATCAGGGTTCTGTGATGGGTCCTCTGCTGTTTGTGATTTATATTAATGATATTGTCTCTGGAACAACTAACAAATATTGAAGTTTGCAGATGACGTTAAGTTTTTGGGGTGGCTAACTGTATCAAAGATGCTTCAGACTTACAGGGAAAGTTAGATCATTTGATGCATTGGGCCAATACATGGCAGATGATGTTTAACTGTCCAAAATGCAAGATGATGCATGTAGGTTTTTACAATTTAAATAGGAATACATTAAATACTGTGGTTGAAGAAAAACATCTTGGTGTTATGACTCAAAAATCACTTGAGTCATCTAAACAGTGTATTGTAGCTAGCAATAGGGCTAATAGGATTTTGAGTAGCATCTATAGAAATACTGAATACAAGGCAAGGAATATTATTGTTTCACTATATAGCTCACTCATAAGGCCCCATTTAGAGTACTGTGTATAGTTTTTGACTCTCTTCCTCAAGAAGAATGTTGAATTGTTGGAGAAGGTTCAGAGAAAAGCCACTAGAATGTTACCTGGAATGGTGGAACTGTCCTATACGTACGAGGAGAGAATAAAATAAAAATATCTAAACTCGTTTTCTCTGGAGAGGAGAAGGGTCAGAGGGTTTTTGATTGAAGTGTTTAAGATTATTAAGGGTATTGATAATATAGATCCATCAAACTTTCCTGTGTTTAGCATTGAAAATTTTGGCAGCATAGGAGTCATCTGCTGTTTATACAATATTACTTTTCAAACAGGGTGGTTGGCTTTTAGAAAGAGCTGCCTTCAAGGGCTGTGAAGGCAGAAAATTTAAATGAGTTCAAGAAAAGATTGGGTGAATACATGAGTAGTAAGTGGTGGTTATAATTATGAGCTGGAATGGAGATCCTTGATGGGCTAATAATAATATTCAGTAATAAGCTCCCTTTTGTCCCCTTAAAATTCTATAAAATTTATGCATAGGTGGGCCTCAAGGTGTAAACGTTTGAGAAACCATGAGATTGAGTACATAGTTGGGTTCAAAGATGTCACATTAACTGATTAAGATACTGTGATAGTGATACACATCTGTTGTTAGTGTTAGCTACAACAGAAAATAACTTATATTACCTTATTTCTCCATTCGGTACAACGCTAGGGAGGTAGTGTAAAAAATATTCTTTTATTTGAGTATCACTATCACGAGCACTTAAAGCCTGTATTCTGTTATTTAATTTTATGAATAGGTTTATAAAATCACTTGAGTCTTTCACAAAATCCACCGCCATGTTCACGCACTTAGCGCCTTCTGACAAATAGTTGAAATACTAACAATTAACACAGATGGGGTTTTAAGTCCATTTTACCATATAATAACATTAATTAATTTGGGTATCTGAATAATTGTATGAGATTTCGACAAATTCGTTATTCAATATTATACAGTGGTTCAACTGTTTAATGATAGCGTGTGTGTGTGTGTGTGTGTCAACCATTTCTCTTATTTTCCAACTTTGGTAAAATAAAATAATAGAAATCTTTAAAATATACATAGAAGCAGAAATTATAAATGATGATTATGATACATATTATAAAGGGTGACTTTTGTTTGTGTGTGGTTAAACGCAAAACTACATTATAAACTATCTATGCTCTGTGGCCTCCCAGTGGCACAGCGGTATGTCTGCAGATTTATACCGCTAGAAACCGGGTTTCGATACCCGTGGTGAACAGTGCACAGATATCCTTTTGTGTAGCTTTGTGCTTAATAACGAATAACAACAACAACAATCTGTGCTGTGCCCACCAGAGTACCAAAACCAGGTTTATAGCATTGTAAGCCTTCAGACTTACCGCTGAACCACTGGGAGGGGACTATAAAGAGAACTACTCACTAGAAGGTTTTATGTGTGTGTTTATGTACTGAATATACGGGAACATTACCAATAAGCTAAACTTTTGTGTTATCGTCTACGATGCATTTATGCTTATTAGTAAACATTAGTGATGTTGCGTATCTGCTCGTTGTTAATTTCCGGTATAAATTCTTTCCGAGGAACTTCGACGATACAAGTCCTTTCTTAAGTAAAACTGTTTATTCTTTCTCGATACAAACTTTTTGTAATACACAGAATTTCCACAGTCACTTTAAACTTAACAACATTTATAACACACGCTATAAATCACAGTGATTCACACACTTTACTTACGGTGCCTACTGTTTGCTTGACTCAGTTACCTCTATCATCAATCTATCTGCATATTTATCTATCACTGACTTTATTTGCCTGGCTTATATACTAAAAAAGAGAGCGCCTGAAAAACACTCGGACATTCGCGAGGTTCCTCGATAAGTCATGATCCTTCTAAAAATTCCAGCGCGCATGCTCCCAGCGTCGTAACAGTAAAATTACCTTATAGATTGAAGTTTAAGGAATAAAACGTTATCATTACCAATCAGTGGACTGGACTTTGGTTTCTTCTTTTTCTGGAAACCCCAAAAGAATCCACCGAACATAAAAAGTGACATCATGTATGGCAAGAATGCAATTACTCTAATAAAATCAAGACCTAAGTTAATATTAGAATGACAACGCGTGCTTGAAGCGAGATCGAAAATTTGCCGTAAATGATCAGAAAATGGAAATACGATCAAGAAGAAAGGGACAGAAGGTTAAAAGAAGCCTAAGAATAAAGATACGAAGGATAAAAATAAGACTAATAGGGAAGTGACAGAGAGTTAAAAACAAGAACAAAGAGACAGAAACTACAAGAATAAGACATAGAATTTGCAGAAGAATACTTGTTTGTTTGTCGTAAAGCATTAAGCTATATAATAGGCTATTTGTATCCTGCCCATCAGGGATATTGGAACCTGATTTTTAGTATTATAAGCCCTTGAACTTACTACGCCATGGAATGCAGAAGAATACAAAGTATGGTGAAATTACTGACTAACTTCCTGACAATAGCAAACAAACTATAACGAATTTGCTAAATCACTAACACTGGTCAACAAAATCGGACTTTTTTTCTCGTCAAAGATGTAAACACACTTCCAAATTTGTTTTTGGTTTTCTTCTAAAAAATGTAATTTCAAGGACATGCGACAGCCCATTTTTTGATATGCATCAAGCAGTTTCTGGACTCCATCTTTTTATGCGGGAGACTTGTGGTTACCCAAGAAGTTTCGACACATCCATCTGATAGCCTGCCATGCTTTTAGTTCTCAGAAATTGAGGCTTTCTTCGAAGCCTTCATCCTTCCTGATTTCGGGCCCCACAAAAATTCCCTTCTTCAATTTCGCGTCACTGATGTTTTGGAAATTTCTCAACAAGGTATTGAAACTCTCTCGAATTCGTCTTACCCATCGCTTTCACACAGTTTTTCATTAAACTGAATTTAATGTGGAGAGGTGGTAGGAAAATCTTCTTTGGATCAACTAAAGGAACACACTAGACACTGTTCGTTCCTGGCTCGTATGTGCTTCTTTGATGCCAGTCACGTCTGATATAATGATTCGCGGTGGCACGGCTGTCCCATAAGCATAGGAAACAACAGTACTTTGTGAACTCTCCTTGCATGCCCATTAACATACCAATCACTTTGAGATCCCCACAGATATTCCATTGATGAGTCCTGTATTGAATTGCTTCAAGTAGTATATTCATGTTATCGTACGTCTCCTTTATATAAACGGAGTGGGCGATCGGGATACATGGCTTTAAGTTCCCATTATGCATGGTTAATTTTTGATTCATTGCAAAATATTATTGACAAAAAAACGTAGTTCTCTTAAGATTATGGTAATTATAATTAAGGCAATAACCTTTCAAATTTGATCAGTCTCATCACGGAAACTTGACGTGCTAGGGGAAAACCAAAAACAGATTTGGGACCAGCGTCCCAAGAGCTATCTAGCCCACCTATAATTATATTTTATGAAAATGACTTGTTGGCCAGTGTAATCAATCATCCCCTAATCTAGACTAACTTGCATTTTCATGCTTCTCTGATCGTTTTCTAAACGTTTAATAAGGTTTTGGTCATTAACCTATGTGTTTATAGTAGTAAGTCAAACTTTATTCTGGTGAAACAACAATATGAACGCCTAGATTTGTTTTCCTAGTTTACTTTGATGATTTCATTTTTCTCCTTCTTCATTTACTATTTTATCCCACTGCTAGTTCATGTTTAAGCTATTTTTTTTGTTTGTTGGTAAATACAAAGCTACACAGTAAGCTATTTTTGCTCTACCCATCACAGGTATCGAAAGCCGAATGAGATACTGGGGGGAAGGGGTGCTAGTTAAGATACTTGATTGAAATATATGAAACAGTACGTTTCATCGTTATATTGATGCTCGTATATATTTTAGTCTAATGTCTCTAGATTCGTTATTTTACCACAATATATCTAATTTTCCCGCGTACTTTTTTTCTGCTAGTGTTATATTTATACAATATAGCAATTTTTTTATTCCTTTAGTATATTGCTTACGCTTCTTTTTGTTCTACCCCCTCCGATGGCTCAGCGATAAGCTTCAGGGCTTAGAATGCTAAAATTCGCAATGTTTGATCTGTGTAATACACACTGTACATGTACTCGATTGTGTAACTTTGCGCTTAAAAACAAGTTATTCTTTCTCTTATTAATCATTCACACCTCTCTTGTTTTCTGTGTTCCCATTTGAAATTCTGTATGTCTGTGTTCTTTTTTTACTATATTTTATAATTCTTTCCATTCGTGTATCTTGTAGATCTTTTCTCTCACCTCATGAAACTTTTCTTCTTCCTGTCTTTCAGTCACGTTAATAATTCGTGATGCAGATATAAAACTTAAGAATTCTTAACAGACGAGCTAAATGACTAGGCATACTTTAAAGTTATTTAACGACACACCTCATGTAAAAATTTGAATCTTCATCTGAAATTCGTGGTAGAACAAGTACTGCATACATACCTTAATAACTAGATTCGACAGAGCGGCAAATACCATTTCAAAAAATTCAAAGATATAAATGAAATGTATATACATTTATAAAATAATGTCCATGCACAGTAGCAATGTAAAAACAATAATGTTTCCAGTTTTAAAAAACAGCTTCATAAACAGTGTTTCAAAGATATGATAGTTTACAAAATATCAAAGTTAATATGTATTGTTCAGTGTTTCAAGGATATGATACTTTACAAAATATCAAAGTTAATATGTATTGTTCAGTGTTTCAAGGATATGATACTTTACAAAATATCAAAGTTAATATGTATTGTTCAGTGTTTCAAGGATATGATTGTTTACAAAATATCAAAGTTAATATGTATTGTTCAGTGTTTCAAGGATATGATAGTTTACAAAATATCAAAGTTAATATGTATTGTTCAGTGTTTCAAGGATATGATACTTTACAAAATATCACAGAATGAATGAACACAAAAGAAATGTTAAAAACAATTATATTACTATTTCACCTTTAGCAGAAAATATTAGCGAAACTAAACACACAATTCAATGGGGAAAAATGTTATTTTAGCACAACCTGGAAATTTAATTAGCATGAATATACGTGAATCTGTTGAGATAATTAAATATAAAAAAAGTAAATTTAAATTATTGAATAAGGACGATGGACCTGATGGAAATGTTGTCTGGTGATAGCGTGAAATTCTTTAATATGTAAATTGGTGATCTGGTAATTGTATAAATGTTATTTTTTTTCAAAACATTAGACTCCTGAGGATGACGCAGTAATATACGTCGAAACATATAGTGTATGAGATTGTTTTTATCTGGTTTTTTACCACTCTTTTTCATGTACAGTAAGTTATTGTATTTTATAATTTTGAGACTGGAAAAAATCTAATTTTTAGAATTGTGTATAAAATAATCGTTGTTTCTGAAAATTGAGTTTTTTTAACATTGAACATTACACAAGTGCCAGAGAATTTTAAAATTTATAGTTATATTTCAAGGAAATGATTGTTTACAAAATGCCAAAGTTAATATTGTTCAACGAAATATTTTATATTATTTTTCTGATATTTTATTTTATCAATCGGTATCAACTCTGGTGTTTTGCTTATATTGACTAAATACAAAAAAATCCTACTAGGTGGAGCTTTTAGGTTCCCTTCTACAAATTCGTTACATACGTACTTGTTGTTGTTCAAGCAATGAATTGGCAAATTATACTTTCACGAAGAAGAAGTAAAAGAAAATGAACCATATGAACTTTATATGAAAACACAAACTACTGTTTAGACGCAATTCCTTAAACAGTACTTGCTGTGTAATTTGATGAAATGTTCATGCCACGTGCATAACGTTAGATAGCTAGAATTGGAAGGATTTGTTTATCAACAACAATCTCGCATTGCACACAGTCTTCAAGTTTAAGAATTTGATCGTTGTTAGTAGTGGCATGAACCCTTCTCAACACACACAACCTTCATTTTCGTTTTCAGTTATAAATGTGCTTCAATAATCCACGCGGTGTCGTGTGTTGCCATTTAAAACTACAGGAGCCTGCTCATAAGTCCGGATTCGAAAAGAATTTCATAACTTTTTAGTTTTATAAAGTTTTCTTATCTCAGTACCTTCTGCCTAAAAATGGACTTTTTACTGTAGTTGTCCCACAATTTTAATGGAAAGAAAAACACTAGCACTACTGCTGTTGGCATCGTTACAACAAAACCTATACAACGGATTTGAATATTCAGTACGTTAGTGGCGCTGCATGACTCGGAATTACTGGTAGTATATTAATGCATCGTTTGAGCCTGTTTGTCGACGCTGAATGAATGCTTGTCCATGTACTTTGATTAACAATCTCGTAGAACTTTCTTGTTTTCCTTCCCGTTACACGTGTATGACAGGGAATATGGAATATTTTTTGTCTTCCAGCTTGGAGCGAGAATCTCTCACTCTACATACATTAAACTCTTCTAATGAAGACAGTGATTTCAGCATTAGTAACATACCATGGGACGAGTGTTCACTTGATAATCTTAAAAACGATTCTTATTTAAATTATCTAATTTCTCAATTGCCTTTAGAAATGCCAGAAACTCTAGAGGAAATATCCATAATCCCAGCGGCTTCTACCGGTTGTTTTGATTCTGACCCAGTCTTTCAATGCTGGGATCACCCAGGATTGTTGGATCACAGGTGTAATGGAGCCCTCAACCAAGGAGAAAATTCCAGTGTTATCAGTTCTTTATACATGTTTAGTGACGCTTGTACTGGGACCCCTAACAGTTCCAGCTCCGAGCTGGATTCCTGTACGGACTCTGTCGCGAAGTTGGGAAAGTGTGAAGACGATTTAGTCGTCCTAGGGATAGGATTAAAACTCTAATGTCCGGATATCTAGAAGAAGAGCTCAAAACTGACCAGGAATTATTTTCTGGTAGTAAAACTAGGAATATATCTCCAACTGTTCATTCACAAGAGATACTCGTGAAAAGAACCAACTCTGCAAGGTTCAGTCCTCCACTGTCCTCGTCGGGATTTTCAAGAGATTTTCACTGTCACTACGTAGGGTGTAACAAGATATACTCCAAACGTTCTCACCTTCAAGCTCACCTAAGACGGCATTCTGGTGAAAAGCCCTTTACTTGTCAGTGGCCCAATTGCGGTTGGCGGTTCTCGCGTTCTGATGAACTTGCTCGCCACAAACGGTCTCATTCCGGTATTAAGCCTTACTGCTGTGAGATATGTGAGAAACGATTCTCCAGGTCCGATCATCTGTCCAAACATATGAAGATACACAAGCGGGAAAAACTTATTACATCTCGAGAAAAACGACACCTGAAGGAGAAAATACAGGAATATTGTTAATTAAGGCAAAAGAAAATAAGCAAAGAATTCTAAATTTACAGTTTTAAGTCGTAAGCTTTTTAAGAAAACAAAACGAAGTTGTAACTAAGTCTGTGTTCCCTTAGACTAAGAATGCCATTATCATTACAACAATGAAATCCACGCCGACTAGTGTGGAGATAAGTTTGGAGTATCATTGTTAATAACAAGCCGTAGAATGATATTATAATATTCATGGCTAATTTCAGCTGTATTCTTGTTATCTAACGAAGTATCTTTAAATACGATATAAAATATACCTAAGCTTTAATCGCCGAGATCGTTTAAATGTTGAGAAAAATCTTGAAATTCAGCTAAAAGATGGTATGTAAACTACGTATTTTGGTGTGAAAAACTAGGAAATTAGACTTTTCAGATATTTTAAATATGAAAACAGTTTTAACAAAAAGCGCAGAAAATATTAAGAAAATGTTATTTTGTAGAAAATTTAGAATAATACATATCCTTATATTTAATTGTTATAAGCTGTATTTTGTGAGATCTGTTTTCTAATTATGAAAACATTTCGGTCAAACCCATTATATATTTATGATAGCATCACTGAAAGGTGAAGTTTTTAACCTTAGGAAATTTTCTTTACATATGACAAGAAATATTTTCAAACAAAGCCTTCCTTGAATACTAAGTTGAAACATCAAAAGTGGGATTAAATAAAATAGTAATATTTTACTTTTATCTCCTTTGTTAAAATAATATTCTCAAGAAATATAACTATAGTCAATATCATACTGAAGCCTAAACTTAACCCTTGCTTAATTTGTTGATTTATCTTTACCATTTTTATCATATTGAAGCCTGAACTTACCCTTGTTTTATTTGTTGATTTACCATTTTTATCATACTGAAGCCTAAAATTAACCCTTGCTTTATTTGTTGACTTAACATTTGGGGACCTTATTACGCGACTTGTTTCAGAAAACAGTTAATTGTATGTTAATGTTATATATTTTTCTGTTCTTGGTAATCAAGTAATAAAAAATACATAGATACGTTTTCAAAATCTCTTAATAATTGGTTAATCAGGTTAAATGTAAATCACCTGTTTATATCTGGATAACTTCGTAGATATTAACAAAAACAAGGCCTGTTAGGGCGTTCAACTCGCAATCTGCGGAGCGCAGGATCGAACTCCTTTTGGTCGTGGGGACGTTAAAATATTACGATCAGTCACACCATTTGTTGGTAAAGAGTAATCCTTGAATTTTCGGTAGGTGTTGTTGACTCGTTATCTTTCCTCTAGTCTGCACCCACTCCCAGTGGGTCAGCGGTAAGCCTGAAGTCTCATAATGCTAAAAACCGGGATTGATACCCGTGGTGCACGCTGCACAGATAGCCCGTTGTGAAGCTATGTGTTTGTTTGTTTGTAATTATGCACAAAGCTACACAATAGGCTATATGTGCTCTGCCCACCACGGCTATCGAAACCCGGTTTCTAGCGTTGTAAGTCCGCAGACATAACGCTGTGCCACTGGGGGCGAAGCTATGTGCTTAACTACAACAAAGAAACAAAAATAAAACAAGCCTTCTGGTCTATCCCTTCAAAATTACGGATGGCTAGTGGAAATAGCACTCGAATAGCTTTGTGTGAAATTCATTTAATAAACAAGCATACATACACACACAGAATAAAACCTAAACTGTTATTCGGCCCTCGATTTAATTAGTATAACCACTCTTTCTCAGGTAGTCAAACTACTCAACTTACTTTGTGATTTAAAATCAAAGAGAGTATTTAGAAACTTTCATAAACACAGTATCTATGTGGTTTCGATGCACTATTTGAAGTATGAAAATCCCTTCATTTCTTCGCTACATAATACCAATAATTGTATTTTCCTGATGTTTATTATATCAAAGCAATAAATTTGTATTCTATATCCATCATAATTCTATGTATTTAATAACTTTATACCAGATGTCAGTCATTGTTACGTCTGTTTAGTAGATACTTATTTTAAAACAGAGTTCCACAGTTAACAGATTTTTATCGCTCAGTACATTGTTGCCCAATGAAGTCTCCGGTAAGAGGGCCGAAAGCTCGCAAACAAAAGTATTTTAACGTAGAGAAAAATCCGTGTATAATACTACATATTAACTTACAAATAAATATATAATCATTTCGGGACTTTTCCGTTTGGTGCCCCCCAACAGATCGTTTTAAAAATATTTTATTTTATTGTATTACTAGTGTTATTTTCAAAACGATCTGTTGTTGGGGGGGGGGGGGCGACCAAACGGAGAAGATTAATCATTTCCGCCAATAATATGAATTCTAACACTTTTACACGTGTATTTTTTTTTCTTTTTTAAAAACCTATAGTTACAAGACTTTTACTATTATTATTAACAACTTATTGCTTAACAATTTGTTGTACCAAGCAACGGATGGCAGCGCATACTTCTCTCTTTTCATGGCTTTAGAGCAAAATTATGAGCTAAAAAAATAGGCCAAAATAGTTTTGAGATCAAAATAATACCAAGGTGGACACCCTTAGTATGCATGCGAAGTTTCAGGTCTCTAGTTTTTTCCCTCTTGGAGCTATGGCGCTGACACACAAACTGTTTTATTAGTATAGATATAACCAACACTACAATGTCTTTATTAAATCAAGCTGTAAATCACAACCGTTCTCTCCATGGTGGCGAAATGTGGTAAACAAAGCTTAGAAATGCTAAATGACGTGAAATGTTGAAATATGTACGTGTATAGAAAATAGCTTATTGGTTCCACTGTCGGATAAACTTCATATGTTTATCGTAATTAAATAGGATAATTTATTTTATTGGAACGTATTAGGGAGAAACTTTGTATAAATAACGTGCTGAATACTGAAAGAAGGTTTAGAAACCGTGTGTTACAGACAACTTTTGTTTTATGTAAATAATTCAGCAGTCAATTAATTAATGAAGTTTGAGGGCTTGACAAAAATCAAAAAGCGCTTTAAAAAGTAATCAGATAAACAGGTTTGTCGACCCCTTCTTTTCCCCCTCAACTTGTTTCACGTGAAAGATTTCGGTACCGCTTCGTACCGGCCTTTCAAGTACACAGCGCAAGCCAATTTAAAACTAGGTTTTCTGTATAACATTACTAGGACTTTCGACCCCGTTTGATACTCAAGTATCAATAACAAAGGTTAAATATATGACTTTTTCAGCACGAGCTTTTGTGACATGTAGAATCATCGTCTAAATATTTCCTTCGATACATCTACTTTTATCACATATATTAAAAAAAAATCACGAATTAACTCCTAACACTAAATAAATATCTCTGAATTATTCATTGCATAGTTCAATTTGATCAAATTTAATAATTATGTAGTGAAATTTTTATATCTCGCGCCACCTGTTAACTGAATTATTTCAGTTTAGCCATTAAAATATAGTGAGATCCAGTCATCTTCTATCATGATAGTCTACCTTCTACAGTGAGATGCAGTCATCTTCTATAATGACAGTCTACCTTCCATAGTGAGATGCAGTCATTTTCTATCATGACAGTCTACCTTCCATAGTGAGATGCAGTCATCCTCTATAATGACAGTCTACATTCCATATTGAGATGCAGTCATCTTCTATCATGACAGTCTACCTCCCATAACGAGATGCTGTCATTTTCTATCATGACAGTCTCCCTTCTACAGTGAGATGCAGTCGTCTTCTATCATGACAGTCT